TTCTTTCTTTCCCTGTGTATTGGATAGTTCTGTAGGTATTTTCATTACTGCAGGACCTGTGTAACAGTCATTTTAACTCCTTGTTCAGCATTTTGACAGCAGACACTAAGATGATCATGAATCACTTTTGGATGATTTCTGAAGATTTGAAGTGAAAATGATGGTGATGTAGACATGACTTCCCTTTTACATCTGTTTGTGACTAATAATAAAAAAAAATAAACCAAATTAATGTAGATTTCATTTTTATTTACTGAAATAGCCCAAGGAAGAGGGGGACAGAGAGGAGAAGGAGATTTATTTAAACTTATTTCAGTTAGCCTTTGTTGAAACTTACCATGTGTATGAAGTTTTAAACAGACAGTTCAAATGTAATCAAGGAGATATATGTGAGATTGAATTATGTCACAAACTGTATCCATTGCTTTTATATTTGCTTGTAATTTCCACTGTTTCACCACGTCAGACAAATGGTTATCCAACATCTTCTTTAAAACTTCCAGTGTTGGAACATTCACAATTTCTGGAGGCAAGTTTTTCCAATGATTAATTGTTCTAACTGTCAGGAAATTTCTCCTTAGTTCTAAGTTGCTTCGCTCCTTGATCAGTTTCCACCCATTGCTTCTTGTCCTACCCTCAGGTGCTTTGGAGAATAACTTGACTCCCTGTTCTTTGTGACAGCCCCTGAGATATTGGAACACTGCTATCATGTCTCCCCTAGTCCTTCTCACATGGGGGGACACACTCTGGACTTGATTTTTGTCTCTGGTCAGTGGCAGAGTGATCTGGAAATAGGGGATTTAGTCATTGAGCCCTTGTCATGGTCTGATCACTCCCTCCTTTGCATGGACTTTCGAACAGCTACACCTCGCCGCAGGGAGACGGAACCGACTAGGTGGTTCCGTCCCAGGCGCCTGATGGACCTGGATAGGTTCCTGACAGAGCTTGGGCCATTCCCTGAGGTTCTGGCTCACGGCGCGACTGAAGAACTGGTGGCCACCTGGGATAGGGCGGCAGCTGGAGCTTTGGACCATGTCGTGGCTTTGCGGCCTCTAACCCAGTGCCGATCTCAATTGGCTCCCTGGTTTTCCGAGGAGCTGAGAGAGATGAAGCACCAGAAAAGACGCCTGGAGATTGATTGGAGGGCCAGTCGCTCCGAATCTGACCGAACACTGGTGAGGTCTCATATTAAGATCTACCTAGTAGCGATAAAAGTGGCAAAATTTAATTATTTTTCCGCTCTTATTGGGTCTGCAGAGAACCGCCCAGCAGCCCTCTTTAGGGTGACCCGCTCCCTCCTTCATCTGGGAGCGAGGGACGACCCCTTGCAGGGCAGGGCTGAGGATTTTGTGCAATTCCTGCATGACAAAGTCACTCAGATTCGGGAAGGTCTGGACTCTGGTTGGGTAGATCTGGATGGGATGACGGAGGGGGGTCTTGAGAATGTTATCTGGGAGGGGTTTGACCTGGTGACTCCCGAGGATGTGGACAGGATTCTGGGGAGGCTTAGCGCTGTCACATGTTTATTGGATCCGTATCCCTCCTGGTTGGTGCTGGCCTCCCGGGAGGTTACACGAGGCTGGCTCCAGGGGATTATTAACGCTTCTTTGAGTGAGGGTTACTTCCCCCCCTCTTTGAAAGAGGCGGTGGTATGGCCCCTCCTCAAGGAACCTTCCCTGGACCTGGTATTAGCGAATTATCGCCCAGTCTCCAACCTTCGCTTTATGGCGAAGGTTGTTGAGAGTGTGGTGGCGCGACAACTTTCCCAGTACCTGGATGAAGCCAATTATCTAGATCTGTTCCAGTCGGGCTTCAGGCCAGGGCACAGCACGGAAACGGCATTGGTCACATTGGTTGATGATCTCTGGAGGGCTCGGGACAGGAGTTGCTCCTCTGTCCTGGTCCTATTAGATTTCTCAGCGGCTTTTGATACCATCGACCATGGTAGCATGCTGCGACGATTGGAGGAGTTGGGAGTGGGGGGGCACCGTGCTGCGGTGGTTCTCCTCCTTCCTCTCCGACCGTGTGCAGTTTGTGTTGGCAGGGGACCAGAGGTCGACCTCAAGGCACCTTGTATGTGGGGTGCCACAAGGGTCAGTCCTCTCGCCCCTTCTGTTCAACATTTATGTGAAACTGCTGGGCGAGATCATCCGTGGTTTTGGGGTGAGATTCCACCAGTACGCTGATGATACTCAGCTGTACATCTCCACCCCGGACCACCCCAATGATGCCCTTGACGTGATGTCCCAGTGCCTGGAGGCTGTGCGGATCTGGATGGGGAGAAACAAGCTCAAACTCAACCCCTCTAAGATCGAGTGGCTGTGGCTCCCGGCGTCCCAGTATAGTCAGCTGGTTCCATCGCTGACTATTGGGGGCGAGACCTTGGCCCCCTCAAAGAGGGCTCGCAACTTGGGCATTCTCCTGGATGCACGGCTGTCTTTGGGAGATCACATGATGGCCATGGCCAGGGGAGCTTTTTATCGGGTTTGCCTGATGCACCAGTTGCGTCCCTTTCTGAACCGCGATGCCCTGCGCACGGTCACTCATGCCCTCGTCACGTCACGTCTGGATCTACTGCAATGCTCTCTACATGGGGCTCCCCTTGAAGAGCACTTGGAGGCTCCAACTGGTCCAGAATGCGGCCGCACAGGTGGTTATGGGTGTGACTCAGTGCACCCACGTAACACCCCTCCTGCGCAAGCTGCACTGGCTCCCGGTGGTCCCGGGTGCGATTCCAGGTGTTGGTTACTACCTTCAAAGTGCTCCATGGCTTAGGACCGGGGTATATACAAGACCGCCTTCTGCCAGCAACAACCTCCCACCGGCCAATACGCTCCCACAGAAAGGGACTCCTCAGGGTGCCGTCGGCCAAATAATGCCGACTGGCGACACCCAGGGGGAGAGCCTTCTCTGTGGGGGCACCAGCCCTCTGGAATGAGCTGCCCTTAGAGCTTCGTCTTATCCCCGACCTGCGTACTTTTTGCCGCGCCCTTAAGACCCTTCTGTTTCAATAAGCCGGACTGGCCTAGTATGAATTTTTAAAATGTATGTATGTTTTAATTCGCAGTCAAATTTTATATTTGATTTTAATTGGTTTTAAATTTTATAAATCTATGTGTTTTAATATGGCTGTACACCACCCTGAGCCCTTTGGGAGAAGGGCGGTATAGAAATCTAATAAACTCTTAAACTCTTCTTTTCATTTCAGTCCTTTCTTTTACTTATCCCTGGTTCCAAAACATTGTGAAAAAGTCAAAAGGTATTAGAATCTATATAAAGTCTTGTAAAATATTTCATTTCTTTCTCTTTCTCAAAATTTCTTTTAGCACTTTTCTATTTCTTTACTAATGAATTAATAAAGTGCTTAAATAAAGCAAGGAAACCAGACACCAGATGTCACTAATCATGACATGTATTATTGCAATACAATCCTGTAAAATTGGACAATATTTACTGGCAGAAAATAATCTCTGAATAAATTGTAGTATTACATTTCTTTTCTCTAGTTTTTCAGGTTATAAAAGTGTATCCTATCTTGATCTATACAATTTAATATTTCAGTAGTTAGCCCTGTGTTTTTTCTCCTTTTCTGTATGCTTCTCTCTATATAGATCTTCAGTCTAATTTATGTCTATAAATTCTCTACAATTTTCCATATAATCAGGAAAGTATTTATAATTTGTAAAATAAACAGAAAATCTACACACTAAATTTTAAAAGTAACCTGCATTTGTTATGCTTAGCATATGTGATACCTGCTCTTCATTTTGAGAGAGAAGAAATTGGACCTCTGCTTACGTTGCATACTATTCTGTAACAAGGAAAGATCTCTCGTTGTTTAATTGGAAAGTGCATTTTATCTTTCAATAATATTTTTCTTGAGTGCTGTCTAAGTACAAAAACAAGATATCTGTCATGCCCCAGAGCCTGAATATGCTGAATCTGAGGAGGAAAACAAGCCAGAGCTGGAGCCAAGGGAAACCGAGGGGGCGGCTTCATTGGCTTCAGGGGAATGTTGGGAGGAGGCAGGCCAGGGCCCCTTAAGAGTGGGACAGCTTGCTAGCAGGGAGGAACGGGGCCAGGACGACCAACAGAGGTTAGGCAGTGGAAATGAGGAGCAAAGGAGTTCAGGCGGTGAGCAAGAACCACCCCCTCTTGATCCCCGAGCACAGAGAGTGGAGAGGAAGTGAGAACAATGTAGGCCAACCTGATGACTCAGAAAGAGAGCGCCCCGCCCCTCTTCACAAGGCACACCTGGGGATTGAATCTTAAGGAGACACTGTGGGGAGGTGTGTTTGTTGGGAACAAACACTGAATTCATGGAGTTTTGTGTGCCATTGCTGATGTTTGGAGTTTCCAGGACTTGCTTTATTTCTTGCTTCCTGGATTAATTGCCTTGTTTCTTTGCTTCCTGAAACCATTGCCATGTTCCTTTGCTTCCTGGACTCATTGACTTATTCCCTTGCCCCGCTGCATTTCTTACTTTGCAGCCGTTGTGCTCATACCATTTTGCTGGACTACTTGCAGCCAGAGGCTGCTGGAGGTGTGTGTTTGTGTTGTGTGTGTGTGTGATCACTTTGCTCTGGGGCTTGCCATAATGTAGGAGCATTTGGGTGAAAGTTGGTGCAATAAAGGAGCTGACTGTGTTGCCTCTGTGCCTTGCCCCAGATCATCACAGTATAATCAAATAAATTTAAAACATTGATTGATTGATTGATTAATTGATTGATTGATTGATTGATTGGATTTATATTGCCGCCTATTCACACATGGTGACTCAAGGCGGCTTACAGAATATAAAGCCTCATATAAAAACAATAAAACTAATAAGAGTCATATAATAAATTAATACAATTACTATCAACTATTTTGGAAATATAGAGTATGCCAATTCCTTTTATCCCTATAGCAGATTCTGGATATACTGACTGCAATCTTCTATAATTATATAATATATAAATAATATACATTATCTAAATCAATGTCTTATTTATCCATAGGTCAAGGTAGGGAATTCTGTGTATGAAGTTCCTAATGAAAACAAAAACTATTCATTCTTCTACATTCTTTTGTTAATCCCGATAGTAATTGCGGGTAAGTAACTGCATACTTATCTCTATCCATTAATTTGTTACAAAACAGTGGCTGCATAGGATAGTCAATGAAAATAAAATAAATGAAAATAAACCAAGTCATTTGATACAGCTCAAAGCTCTGCCAGTCACCCAAACCATCAGCTAAACCCACTTAGAGTCATCAGAGAGCACTTTACCCATAATCATCTCACAGCTCAAGAAGTTCTGCTTATACTGCATCTGACTAATGATCCATTCTATTCTTTTCTCTCCCTTGCTATATGCAAAACCTTTCCAAGGTCTCAGACTGAATTACCTAAATTTTTCAGTTCCATCAACATAATGAACTTTATGAATTTTCCTTCCTAGGCAGAGGCCTCCAAATCTTGTCAAGATTTGCCACAGTGTGAGATAACAGAAAGGAAGGCTTTTGAGGAAAGAGAACCATACTCCCAAAATTGTGGAGCTTGCTTAAGCCTTCTACTACTAATTACAGTTCTAGTATTATTTTTAGTTTTTTTTGTAGCCTGCAGATACTTTTAATATATTGATTTAAATATATTGAATGTCAGTTTAAACTTGGCCACTCTGAGCTGCACCAGTTTTCAGATATTTTTGTCCTTTTAAAACAAATTATAAGCATGTATGTATTAGGACAGATGGCATGATAACACCTTGTTAGCTTAATGTTATTTTTTTTTAGTTGCATTTTTTGTCACCCAGCGAAAGTCCAAACAATTAAATCAAAAATTAAGTGAACATCTGGAACTATTGGAATGTGAACTTCGTAAAGAAATACGGGAAGGTAAATTTATATCAGCAGAATGCATGTGAATGAATTGACACTTGGGTATAAAAGTCCCCAGAATTGTTGCATTGTTTTTATGCAATTATTTTATCATTGTATCAAATACAGAAATTTAGTTTTGTACCTACATTACCACACTACATGACAGAATTGTGGAGGAAACATCTTTTTCCGCAAAATTCCTTTAATATTCTTTATAAAACCCTTTGTAAAATTGTCTTATAAACTACCTTTACTATTGCAAAGCTTCAGTGCTCGTTTTAGCCAATCTCCCCTTGTTCGTAGGAAACAAGAACTGTATATACAAATAAACAAATATAAATAGACCTACAAGGTCTACTCTCATAGAAAGAGGTCAGTAATAGATAAATGTATGTAGATGTTGCCAACATCAGAAATAACGTGCAAAGAAATTTCTTAAGACTAGACAAATGGTTTATGCATTTGCAATAATGTTAACTTTAGCTACAGCTAAAACACATGATTTCTCCAATTTAATAAAGCAAAAGTCATTCCTTAAATATCTCATACTAAGTTTTTGTATATTAAGAGAAAAACTATTTTTATGCATTTATCTTAAATCTTCATGTGATTGAAAGAGCCTGTTCTGACACATAATGCATAGTTGTCTTTATTGGAGTTTGGATTAAACTTTTCCACAGAGTATTATTGCTGATCTTACAATAAATAATCATTTGATATCCCTTGTTCATTTCTGTGTTGTATACAAAAATGGATTTTAAAAATCTGCATATTAAAAAGATAGTTTTGTATATTCCACAGAAATAAATACATGTACACAAATGTATGCACAAACACACATACTGATAACCATTTCTTTCCTTATCATTTCTTTCCAGAATTACAGTGAAAATTGTTATTAGAATGTAACATTATAAAAATAAACACTACAGCAGACTTTTTTGTTTTATAGGATTTATTGAACTACAAGTTGAAGAATTGGATATAGTTGATAGCTTTGGAACAATTCCATTTCTTGATTATAAACATTTTGTTCTTAGGACATTTTTCCCAGAGGTAAATGATTGTCTACAACAAACAAGTAATTGAAATAATGTAATTGAATAAAGTAATTGAAATTTTAATTTATTAAATGTAACCTGCCCAACTCCATTAAAACTCTAGATAATGCATAGTCTCATTTTTTTCAAAAATAAAATAGACCACACAACACAAAAATAACATCTGGAGAAAGAACCAACATTTCACAAATCAGATAGTTGATAAGGATCTGCTTTGAATCTTACAATTTTAAAATGCCAGTGATCATTCAGTTTGCAATTGAAAAAGTTTTTCTAATTCATCAATCCATTTGCAAAGTATCATCTTCCTTCAAGGTGATGGAATAGGGATAATAAAAATAGAAGTGAAATTCAGGGTTCCTTCTCAACATATGCAAATCTTTGGTATTTTAAAAAAGGACAAATATGGCAGTGTTTTAGATCAGAGGTCTCGAAACTTTAAGTCTTGTGGACTTCAAATCCCAGAATTCCCCGGCCAGTCTTAAAGTTGCAAAGTTCTTGTTTATTTCTTCATTTTTTTGAATAGTGAGACCTTTCCTGTTATAGAAAGAGTCAGTATAACCTGGTGCCCCCCCCCCCACAATCAGTTTCCATCCTCTGTGATGATGTAGGGTGAGTAAAAGGGTTTCAAATGACAAATATTTCAGCTTTGAATCAGCATTAGTTTTGTTTTTCTTTTCTTAAGAAATGATTACTGAACATGTAGTTTTCAGTATGCAGCTAATTTACAAAACCCATGGTTTCTAAGAATTTTCAGATTACTTTCATTTGTAGTTTAGTAGTTTAGAGAGGGAACATTCAGAATACGTCATTACACCTCATCAAAATCAGCATCATCTTTATATTTATGCTGCAAATGTTTAGAAAATGTTTAATGTTGTATTCACAATTTTTTTGTTTAGGCTATAGGTATTTCGTCTATATTTATTGAAGACTCTAATGAACCTCTAGTAAGTATAAGTACCTATATTTTTCATTCTTTTAAGTTTGTTATGCTTTTAAAAAATATTTCTAAGATATAGATTTTTGTACAAAATCTACAAATATTGCATATCCAAGCTGGGACAGATATTGCAAGAACTCTGAGAAGTTTTACTCAGAGGAATAACGTGTTCCTTTATCCATCTCCTTTGTATTTCTTGTAACATCAATATCTATAGCAGGATTTCTAAATATCAGAGTATGATTTTTGCAGTTTTAAGAATTAAATATATACGACATTAAAAATAGGTGAACAATAATGTCATTTATGTCTTTCATTTCTTTCAGAGCAAAGACCAGGGTCTATATGCATTAATTTGTAACAAAAAATTTCTTGTTACGCTGATTCACATTCTTGAAAAACAGAAAACGTTTGATATAAAAGATAGGTATGCTATAAAATTTAAATTCTGCAAGTTGTATAAAACTGGGGACAAATTGTCCCCAGTTTGTATAAAACTGGGGACAAATTGTGATTTTTTGGGTTAAAATAGTCAAAATATTTTTTGAAAGTGCCTTCCTACTTGTTGATTTCTTCACTTTTGGAAAAGTCTTCTCATCTTGAATAGAATATGTCACCCTGTGTTATGATAAACCATATAAGTCTTATCAATTAATAATTTCACTTTCATCTAGCCTTTGCATTTGGGAGATTGTGTGAATACTTCCCAACTGATGTTGATGTTGGAAATAAGGCATTTATATTATTCATAATAAAGCCATTTTTTATTCCAATTCAGATGTGAAAAAGTTCTGCAGGTTAATTTTCTGTTGCATAATTTATATAATTTGAGCCATTAGGTGATTGAAAAATAACCAGTTTTATTGTCTGAACAATACACAGGTGTTTATTGATAAGCATTAGTTTTATGCTTCCTATCCTTTTCTTCACCTGTATAATGGCTAACAGAGTTTACATTCATAATATTCAGATTCTTAACTCTGTAAACAGTACAGATTTTGTTTATATTTCTAGCCTTAATTGGTGACCTTGCCAATAAATGCTCTGCTCTTAGATGTACTAGGTTACCTTTGATTATCAATCCTATCCAAGAAGCTTCTTGACTCTAGACGTTGTGAATGCTCCAACACTGGAGGTTCATAAGAAGAGATCGGACAACTATTTGTCTGAGATCGGACAACTATTTGTTTGCTCGAGCAGGGGGTTGGACTTCCAAGGTCCCTTCCAATTCTATTTATTCTGTGTTCTAGACCCTTTATATTTAGTAGTTCCAGAAATCATCTCATGTTTTTGTATGGCACATGACAAGATGTGGGTGAGTTTGGATCAAGCTAGTGGTGTTATTATAAGGTAATAATTCAGATTCCTAACATGCAGAATTATTGTTAACCTGGTTTTTTTTTTCTCTTTTTAAACAGATGCTTGTTTGCATCTTTTTTGACAATTGCACTACAGACCAATCTAGTCTATTTAACTAATATTCTAGAAGTTTTGACAAAAGATTTGATGGAGCAGTCTAGCAATATGCAACCTAAGCTGATGCTAAGGCGCACAGAATCAGTAGTAGAAAAGCTGCTTACAAACTGGATGTCAGTTTGCCTTTCTGGTTTCCTTCGGGCAAGTATTATATATTATATGTTTTCGCTATATAGCATCAGTGAGCAAGAGACTGGTTTATTTGCATGCAGATTTTCCTGCTCACATTTTCCACGGTCTCCTAGCAGCCTTGATCACCCACTTTATTTTGACTTTATTTTGCTTTATTCTGACACTGTGGACTGCTGGCACAAGCTCTGCAGACAGCCTCTTATTTTAATTAAATTAAATTTCATAAACTTGGTGTTCTTAATGAATTAAATAAATTCAGATTGATACACGAGGCATAAGTAATCTATTACTTTAAACATTCCTGAATATTTCCTGCAGAAGCCACTTTGACATGAGGGGGAAAAAATCTGATCAGCTGCATGTTAATTTAATTTATTACATACAAGTATCATATTAGTTACAGCTTTTCAGCATTCATATGCCAAATATAGATTCAAAGAAATAGTTTGGTTTCAAAGTTTTGTGTGAATTGAAAATGCATATTTTTCAAAACGGCTTTGAACTACAACTGGGGCATACTTAATACTTTCCCTTTCCTTCTTTTTCACAGCACATTCATTAAACAATTGCAAAGACATGTAACAAAAGAAAATAAGTGTGTTTCATTTTCTTTCATAGGAAACAGTTGGGGAACCATTCTTTTTACTTGTAACAACTTTAAATCAAAGGATTATCAAGGGTCCTGTGGATGCAATATCTTGCAAGGCCCTATACACACTAAATGAAGACTGGTTACTGTGGCAAGCGCCTGAATTCAGCACAGTGGTATGTTACCTAATGACTTTATGACTGGAACCAGGACAGTTTATATGAAAGAAGCATATATTCCAATAAAGGCTTTGCATGATGTATTTTAAAAATCAAGATTCAGTGCCAAGAAAGGTTAACCCTTTAACTTAATTTAATTGACAGGTGTTTAATATACCTTAGTATCTATTCATCTAGTTATGGAAATGGGCAAAGAATTATTATATTATTTTTATATTTTTTGTTGAAGATGAATTAGCCCCAGAAAATTGAAAACAGTTCCATTCTATAAAATTTTCTCCAAGTATTTATTTCATCTTTTCAATCCTGTCTTTGTGGTAATAAGTATCTCAGCACAATCAACAGTATAGGTCAGAGGTAGCATAAAGCTCAGTGGAATTATTTTATCATTCTGTTTCTGAAACTATGCTTAGTGGTTTGCACCACCCACAAATCAGTCATTTCAACAGGAAGCAATTTTCAAAATATGTACATAATACCATCCTTCTTATCAAGGATGCAGGGTTGCATGTTATTCATACACTCGACTACACAGGTAGGCCTTGACATACAACAGTTCATTTGGTAATTGTTCAAAGTTACTACTGAACAATATCACTGAAAAAAGTGATATGACATTTATCTCTGTGAATGGTAAGAGGAAAGCATAATATTGGAAATTAAAGAAAGAGAGCTATTTATGTATCCATGGTTTTTGTGGTGTTGTAAACAATTCCCTTCCAATATGCTCAAGGTGATCTAAATAGTTCAGAGCTGTGGGAGAATGCAAAAACTATTCTGATAGTTTGTTCCATCTCAGTTGTACCACCTGGTGCTCATTTTCTTCATGTGGAAAAGGTCAGCTACGGAGAGGTTTGACAGGATAGTGTGGAACTAACCTCATTCTTTAGCCCTGGGAATATTCATTATCAAATACTATGGGTTTCCTGTGAAATTGCTTTTCTAAACCACTTATTTAGAAAAATAAGCACAAAGGAAAGGAAAATGAGAAAAGGGAAGAGCAGGTTTGTATTTGTACAGCCTAAGGCCAAGTTGTAGTTTTGTCTGAAGATGGGCAGCATGATCAGAATTCTAAAAAGCCCATGGATTACTTCCTATGTGTCTGTAAAAAGCCCTGGTGATTGTTTTTTCTTTAGCTGTAGATTTGTGAACATAATAAAGTAAATCTCAGCAAACTGTCATTTGTTATCTTGAATTACTGGAGTTTACTGTAATAAGTACTACCCTAAATAAATACTACAGGATATAAGTACTAGCCATAACTACTACTCTGAAAGCTTGGAGATGGTGAATTTTATGGAGTTTATCTGACAAAATCTAGACTGGACCGTATAGGAAAAAGAATTGCAGAGAATGAATTATGGAAAGAGGGAAACCCTTGTCAGAATGAAAACATTGGACAAGCAGTGATAGGACATAGAAGTAATAAAGAAAGAAAACAGGGAAAGATTGTGTGTGAAGGTTGTTCATTGTGTATGTATCTGAGGAAAGAAGAATGTGCATTTGGAGGTTTATCCAAGAGAAACGAATGTGAAGTATGATAATAATTTAGAAATCAGTGAATGCCATTCTTCCTGTTAAGTATTCCTAATAATCCTTATTATGTGTATTTTCTATCCAGTTTCAACTTTTAAGTCACTTTGAATGAATATTCACACTTTTCCAGGTATTAAATGTTGTCTTTGAAAATATCCAAGAAAATGAGTCCAGTGGCGCTACTCAGAATATCCAAGTTAAAATATTGGATTGTGACACCATTGGACAGGTCAAAGAGAAGATCCTACAGGCCTTTCTGAACAAGAACGGATCCCTCTATGGTCTCCAGCTAAGAGAAATGGGCCTGAGTAAGATACTAATAGTGCTATACTAGTTATAAATTCAAAAATAGCTTTTTGTTTTTGTTTCTCCACAACTGTATAATTGTTTTTATTATTTACTTTAAATAGTATTGTTTGCATTTTTAAAAACAAAAAATTATTATTTCGCTATTTAATGTATGAACTATAAGATTAACCTATTGAAGTTATTTAGTATAATTTATTACTTGAATATGTCTTGCATTTTTTTTTGTAAATACATTTGTGGCTTTTTGCTGAAAAAGTATAATAGAAATGCACCCCTGTTATAGCTTAGCTGCACTGCTTTCTGAGTGCTTTCAGATACAATTCAAGGTGCTGATTGTCAGTTATAAGAAGCATGTCTTGGGGCGGGGAGGCTATATAAATTGAACAAACAAACAAAACCCTCCACAGTCTGGAGCTTTATTTGTAGATCTGCCTCTCCCCAGTTGCTTCCATCGGGCATGTTATCAGTCCCATCAGTTACAGAATGTCATCTTGCAGGACTCAGAAAGTGATCCTTTTCTATTGCAGCCATAGAGATTAGACTGACCATGACCCAGCTGATTTGTCAGAATGTTTTAAGGCTTGGATTTGATTCCATGGGCTGGGAGGTTAGTTGGAGTCCGTGATATGTTGGGCGTTTCTCAGTTATCATGTTAGGATTTAATACATTGTTGGTTCTGAACTTTATTTTGTTCTGTGTTTTTTATAAGTTACTAGCCATCCAGGTTGTTACATAGAAATGGAAAGTGATAAAAATCAAATAAAATTGATCTTATCATAAAAATTCTAAATTGCATCAGTGAGCAAGTATGTAGCATTGGACACAAGTAGTGTGTTAGAACAATGCTACAAATAGTGTAGAAATTTTTGTTGACCTAGAATATATACTGATAATATCCCCTTCAGCAGTGACAATAGCATACTTGCATAGTCACTTTGAAGTTTTTCACAAAATTCTACTGTGATAAAGAAAGCGAAGAAGAAATGTGATACAATTGCAAGCAACATCTTTTATGTGAACCGTACAAAATAAACAATACTATACAAAAAGAATAACATTTGCTTCACATAATATATTGCTTTAACTTAACAGGAAAAGGCTTTTTAAAACTAAGCGCAGATTAACTATTTTATTTGTGTTGTCAGCTCTTGAATCAGGTTCCCAAGCAAAAGAACTTCTGGATGTAGATGGTTCCTCCGTAATTTTAGAAAATGGAGTTACTAAGCTGAACACCATAGGTCATTATGGGGTAAGAATAAACATCCAAATGTGTTGAAAATTTGCCTTTGTTAGAGGAGTATTAGGCAGATGTTAAATTATAACATGTATTTTCATTTTGTTAACATATAGAGCATATGTAAAGTATGACAATTTGATACAGATTTCAAGAAAAGTAAGAAAGATGCTTTATTGTATGATTTCAGATTTCAGATGGAGCAACAATGAAAGTATTTAAGAAGATATATCAAGATATATCAGCTGGTAAAATAAGTAACATATTTATATAATATATTGTATTTTTGAAATTTTAAGTTTGTGGTAATTCTTTAAATTATAATTGAATTATAATTCAGAAGTTCATATGAACTGAGAATATAGAACCAATTTAGATATACAGTAATATGATAAGAACTAAAATTATTTAACTGAAGAAAAATTAAATATTCTGTTCTCAATTTTGGGCAGCTGTATGATTTTAAGAAGCTCATTTGCCCAGTCCAGGATTTCAATTCTCTCCGAATCAAACAAAATGAAAGACAAATTGTATACTTCATGCCTTGCAAAAATCAACTCATAGAAGTCCTGGCAAACCCGATTTTGAAAAACTAATTGAAAACCAATTGTTACTCAATTTACTCCCTCCAGATGTTAATAATAATAACAATAATAATAATTTTATTTATATACCGCCCTTCTCCCGAAGGACTCGGGGCGGTGTACAGCCAAGATTAAAAACATAAATATACAATATCATAGTTAAAATTAATTAAAATCATTAAATAGTTTTGGCCAAATTTTAAAAACCCAATATTAAAACCCAATTTAAAATCATTCAGTTAGACAGCCCTGCCTGTCGGAACAGTAGGGTCTTGAGGGCAAAGTGAAAGACCCGGAGGTCAGAGATGTTACGAATATCCGGGGACAATTCATTCCAAAGGGCAGGAGCTCCGACAGAGAAGGCCCTCCTCCTGGGTATTGCCAGCCGACATAACTTGGCCGACGGTATCCTGAGGAGTCCCTCTCTGTGGGAGCGGACTGGTCGGTGGGAGGATATTGGTGGCAGAAGGCGGTCCCATAAATATCCTGGTCCTATGCCATGGAGCGCTTTAAAGGTGGTGACCAACACCTTGAATTGCACCCGGAAGACCACTGGGAGCCAGTGCAGCTTGCGGAGGAGAGGTGTTACATGGGCGTAATGAGGTGCGCCCATAACCACCCGCGCGGCTGCATTCTCGACCAGTTGGAACCTCCGAGTGCTCTTCAAGGGGAGCCACATGTAGAGAGCATTACAATAGTCCAGACGGGAGGTGACGAGGGCATGAGTGACTGTGCGCAAGGCTTCCTGGTCCAGAAAGGGACGCAACTGGCGGATCAGGCCAACCTGATAAAAAGCCCCCCTGGCTACGGCCGTCATATGCTCTTCTAAAGACAGCCGTGAGTCCAGGAGGACACCCAGATTGCGAGCCCTCTCTGTGGGGAGCAAAGATTCACCCCCAATAGTCAGCGATGGCACCAGCTGACTATACCGGGACTCCAGAAGCCACAGCCACTCAGTCTTGGAAGGGTTGAGCTTGAGCCTATTTCTCCCCATCCAGACCCGCACACCCTCCAGACAGCGGGACATCACATCAAGGGCATAATTTGGGTGGTTTGGGGTGGAGATGTACAGCTGAGCGTTATCAGTGTACTGATGGAACTCCACCCCAAAGCAATTTTGAACAGGAGCGGCAAGAGGACCGACCCTTGCGGCACCCCGCAAACGAGGCGCCTCAAGGTCGACCTCTGCCCCCCTGCCAACCCAGACTGCGACCGGTCGAAGAGATAGGAGAAGAACCACCGCAGCACGGTGCCTCCCACCCCCAAGCCCTCCAGCTGATGCAGCATGATACCATGGTCGGTGGTATCAAAAGCCGCTGAGAGATCTAACAAGACCAGGACAGAGGAGCAACCCCTGTCCCGAGCCCTCCAGAGATCATCCACCAACGCGACCAATGCCGTTTCTGTGCTGTACCCCCGCCTGAAGCCCGACTGATCCAGATCCAGATAGACAGCTTCCTCCAGGTACCGGGGTAGCTGTCATGCCACCACACTCCCGACAACTTTCGCCACAAAACGAAGGTTGGAGACCGGACGGTAATTTGCTAATACAGCCAGGTCCAGGGATGGCTTCTTGAGGAGGGGCCTTACCATCGCCTCTTTCAAGGCAGCGGGAAAGGCACCCTCACTCAAAGAAGCATTTAAAATCCCCTGGAGCCAGCCTCGTGTAACCTCCCGGGAGGCCAGTTCCAACCAGGAGGGACACGGGTCCAATAAACATGTGGCAGCACTAAGCCCACCCAGAATCCTGTCCATGTCCTCGGGAGCCACAGGGTCAAACTCTTCCCAGATAATATTCTCAAGACTCACCCCCGTCTCCCTCCCCGGACTCACCCAGTCGGAGTCCAAGCCTTCCCGAATCTGAGGACTTTATCATGCAGGAATTGCACAAAATCTTCGAGCCTGCAAGGGATCTTCCCGCACTTCCACCCAAAGGAGGGAGTGGGTCACCCTAAACAGAGCAGCTGGGCGGTTCTCTGCAGATGCGATAAGAGCGGAAAAATAGTTAGATTTTGCTGCTTTGATCGCCACTAGGTAGGTCTTGATATAAGACCTCACCTGTGTCTGGTCAGATTCGGATTGACTAGTCCTCCAAACACTCTCTAGGCGTCGTTTCCGACGCTTCATCTCTCTCAGCTTCTCGGAGAACCAAGGAGCCAATTGAGATCGGCATTGGGTCAGAGGCCGCAAAGGCACGACGCGGTCCAAAGCCCCTGCGGCCGCACTATCCCAAGCGGCCACCAGGTCTTCAGTTGAGTCGTGTGCCAGAGTCTCAGGAAACGGCCCAAGCTCCATCTGGAACCTTTCGGGATCCATCAGGCGCCTGGGACGGAACTATCTAGTCAGTTCCATCTCCCTGCGGCGGGGGGGAAGCGGCTTGAAAGTTTAAGCGAAGGAGCGAATGATCTGTCCATGACAAGGGTTTAATGTCTAGGTCCCCTCTACCAAGATCATTCAGCCACTGACCAGAGATAAAAATCAAGTCCAGAGTGTGTCCTCCTGTGTGAGTGGGGCCTTGCACTAACTGGGTCAGGTCCATGGCCGTCATGGAAGCCATAAACTCCCGAGCCACCTCTGATGTCTCACCGACGGATGGCAGATTGAAATCCCGCATAACAATAAGTCTGGGGATATGAACCCCCACCCCAGCAATCACGTCGAGCAGCTCGGGCAGGGTCGCCACCATGTGGCAGGGAGCCAGATACATAGTCAGCAAACCCATCTGCATCCCACGACCCCACTTCACAAAAAGGGACTCACATCCGGCTATCTGAGGAACAGTGGCCTCCCTCGGACAAAGACTTTCTCTAATAATTGCCGCTACTCCCCCCCCCTCCCCTGGGCCCTCGGCTGATGAAATGCACGGAAGCCTGGAGGGCAGATTTCAACTAGGGGAACCCCCACTCCTGGCCCAACCAGGTCTCCGTAATCCCAGCCAGGTCTACACCCCACTCCACAATAAGATCACAAATGAGGGGGCCTTTGTTAATTACCGACCTGGCATTACATAACATCAGTCGAGGACGAGATGTTGGGATTACTATTTTCTGATATTTGTAAGCAAGCATCTATTTCCACTTAAATATTAATGGTACCAGTTAATAGGAAGGACTACCACGATTAAAGATCTTACCATCTACATTGGCAGTAATCTGAATAAGAATAAATTTAGCTAACTATGCATGTTTCAGTGAATTTTTCCTGAGCATCAGCCTACTTTCTAGGTCATAGCTTGATCTTTATGTGTACATTCAGTTTACCCTTTTTCCCCCCTCTTCACCATGTTGACCAGATGGAGAATATTCTGAGGACTATTGCCATCTGGTAAGTCAGCTTAATACCTAGTAATTAGTCATTTGTTTAGCTCCTTAATCGCAGCATTTCCATGAACATCTGTGTAAACCTTTCTTACAGATATTACCAGATGCAGAAGCAGCCAAAGAAACACAGAATGCAAAACATAAAGGAAAACAAAAATTTAAAGTCAAAGAAATGTATCTCACTAAACTTCTCTCTACTAAGGTGACTCCAAAGTTTTATTTCTTATTGTAAAAGAATGCTATAGTGCTATAATTATTTAGTGTATATTCTGTTAACTTACAAAATGACTTGTTTGCATGTGAAAGCTAAAAAGCACTGGGGAAAGGAATATATGACAAAACTTTCTATTTCATATGTAAAGCAACAGCATTTTGGAAATGCTTTACATATAATTGAATACTGACCTTATTAAATACATAATTAAGTATAATTATGCACTAAATCATGGTTGTGTGCATCCATATATATAAGAAGGCTTCCTCTTTCACTTACATAAGTTGAGACTCATTGGAGTCTCAATTACACATAGAGGAGCTCTAAGAAAGGCTGCTTTCATGACACTTGATCAAATGATTGAGGATAAAGTGTTTGTGGGAATGGTGATTGAGGAAAATCACATATATTGGGTCAATTTTCCTAGATGAACATACGCCCGCGCACACACACACACAGTAATGAATTTTTTGTTTTGTTTTGTCATAGGTTGCTATCCACTCAACTGTTGAAAAGCTCTTTAGAAGCATTTGGAATTTGCCCAACAATAAAGCCCCAGTTGCTATTAAATATTTTTTTGATTTTCTGGATGCTCAGGCTGAAAATAAAAAAATTACAGATCCTGATGTGGTCCATATATGGAAAACCAACAGGTAATTTATGTGCCCACTGTAATTTGGCAGCATATAGAATATTCTTGCTTTTTGGCAGATAAAGTTGTTTGTGGTTCTGGGGGATTATTTAGAGTGAATTTGATTCTGTGACTCTTTAGGAAGTGAACAAGCCTATTAGCTCAGATAGATTTTCTGTGCAGCTAGTATCAACTGATGTTAATTGGGGAGGACTTCTTAGGTACTACAGACTCTCTTCCATTCTATAATACATGAAATTGTCAAGTTTAAAATATACATAAAACTGCTGGGTAAGGTCAACTGTCAGTTTGAGGTCAGGTATTATCACTCCAGTTATATATTGACTGAATTAGCAAAGTAACACCATTAAAGTCCTAGCCTAATGCCTGCAGGCTATATGGATACGATGGAGTAAACTGACTTAGTCTCAGTCTTGAGAAGACCAAGTCGCTATGTTTACTCAAGCCCCTCCCCCAATATACTAACTTGCAGTGGGATGTACTTCCCCATTTGAGATGGTGTGAAATCTGGGGTTCCTCCTGGACTCTCAGTTCCTGCTTGAAGAGTCTTTAATGCACCAGTTTCCTGAACTATGAGGCCCTTCAGATAGTCACTTACTAACCAGTCATTTCACAATTAGATTATTATAACATGCTCTGGATTGGACCTCTTTTAAAAACCATCCAGAAGCCAGTTTCAAGAATGCAGAAGTGGAAAAAAATACTTGGCCTGGCTTAGGCCTGGCTTTCTGAGAGGTTGCTTATCTCCAATTGTTTCTGCCCATCCAGTGTGAGCAAGCAAGGTGGCTGTGCTTTGAGCCCCAAAGATTAAACAGTGCCATCTTGTGGGCCTGAGGAAGCATGCTATTCTGTTGCAGTGCCTGGGCTTTGGAACATCTTCCCAGTCATTCAGGGAGCATTCACCCTTGGAAACTTTTAAAAATCTATGAAACTTTTAAAAACATGGTTGTTCCCCAAAGCAAATTGTGTATGCTGAATAGCTGGATGTATTGTTCTTCAGTCAGCCATGGTCCCTTTTTATTTGTATCTCTAATATTATTCTTTTTTTAAAAAAATTGTAAGCCATCCAGAATCGCAAAGAAATTGTGTGAACTGAATGCATGCATACACACATAACAATTTCAGAAATTATTAGCACTGCAGGGCATATTGAAAATGTGTTCATCAATTGACAGTAAAATGATTTATATGTTACTTTTGGTTAGTGTTTTTTTACAATAAATATTTGCTAGATTTTGCAGGATGAAGGATTTAGCTGAAGGATTTATATTTATTTCAATATAACTTTTTAAAATACTTTTTTTGTCTAGTCTGCCTCTTCGATTCTGGGTGAATATTCTGAAGAATCCTCAATTTGTCTTTGATATTAAAAAGACTCCACATATAGATGGCTGCCTGTCAGTCATTGCACAAGCATTTATGGATGCATTTTCTCTGTCAGAGCAACATTTGGGAAAGGTAGCATCTTATTTTTTGTGCATACCAAGAATTTCTTTTTTAAGTTTCCCAGGAAGGAGGGAGCATATTCAGAATGGGAGGTCGGGAGGCAAGAGGCAATCCAGTCTGAAACTGGATAGGAGACAGAGGAAGAGAGTTAGGATAGTCACTCCCTAGCATCTTGTTAGTATAATAGTAGTAAGGATTCAGTCTAGCAAGATTCTGTCTATTGTGTGTTAGCAAATAAACAACTGAACTCTGGCTGAATTGATCTTTGTCATTCTTGGGTTTACAGAGGAATTCTTGGTGCTCTCTGAGTTTGGTTGTTTGCTTGCAGACATTTCATTACCCAACTAGGTAGCATCATGAGTACTAATTAGTGTGGATTTTGCAAACAACCAAGCTCAGAGAGAACCCAGGATTAAAAAGTAAGTCCTGTTAAGTTGTCCAGAACTAACTTTCAGATAAGTGAGTTAACAGGATTACAGTCTTCCAAGCACTGTACTATTCCTATTGAAAATGGTCATTTCATCTTTAAATTTGACTCACTGAAAAATTATTTCCTGAGCCACGTCCACATTCTTTTGGGAGCATAGTTTCATACCTTCTATGTCCATAGTTTATTTTAGAATAGCTTCATAACCTGCATAGAGAAATGTATTAGCTTCCCAAGCTCTTACCTAGCTTCCTGATATGATGTCTGCTAGACTAGGATCACACGGGATGCTATCTAGCCAGTTCAGCCCAGTTTGTGTGAACAAATTATTAATTTTTCCTAATTACCAGAAAACTCTGATCATTTTGCATGAATTGTTATCAAATCTTGTGATGATAAGTTTGAGAAAGGGCCACATTTAGCACAAGCAAAGTTCGCTTTTATAAGAAAGGACTCATAGGCAGGAGGGTGCCCAGAGCACAAATGGGGTGGGGGAATCACACAATCAGAAGTTGGGATCAGATGCAAAAGCCCCTTTCTCTTCTAGGGCTGACCAACTGCCCTATCTTTCCTTTGTATCCTGAAAAGGACTCCATGCTAGTTTTCTGAGCTTCCCAATTCTTCTGTTGCTGTTCCTAGGAAAGTTTTGGTGCACCTGGCAAGAACCAGACATGTATTTGCCTGCTGGCTAGAAGACTATTCCAATGACACTGGTGGCCCTGATGTCCCATAAGACACTTTTCCTAAAACGTTGTACTCAGGGATTTCAGAGAATGGTTGTAAATCTGCAAATAGTCTATTATGTTCACCAAGATTGCCTGATATGACTGATGACCAAAACTGATTGTTCCCTAATTTTGACAATACAATGGGTTCACTGACAAATGAGGCATCTTGCTAACTTTTATGACCTGTCTTTTCTTCTTCCTCCTCAAAGGAAGCACCAACAAATAAACTTCTGTATGCTAAGGATATACCACTTTATAAAGAGGAAGTTAAAGCTTTCTATAAAGCAATAAGGGATTTGCCTCCACTGCCCAGAGCAGAACTGGAAGAATTTTTAATTCTGGAATCACAGGTATCTATTATTTCTGCTGCAGCTGGAACTTAAACATATATTGTAAATGGAGTTGTATCTTACCGTATTTAAAGGACAATTCCCATTAATGAATTTATTCAGACACATATCAAAGGTTCCAGTAATATTTTCCTTTGTCTTTCTATGTTTATTTGTACAGTTGCAAGAAAAAGTATGTGAACCCCTTGGGATTACGTGGAGTTTTGCATGAATTGGTCATAAAATGTGCTCTGAACTTCATCTAAGTCACAACAATAGAAAAACACAGTCTGCTTAAAATAATACTACACAAACATTAGATGTTGCCATGGTTTAATTGAACATAACATGTAAACATTCACAGTGCAGGGAGGAAAAAGTATGTGAACCTTTGGACTTAATAACTGGTTGACCCTCCTTTGGCAGCAATAACCTCAACCAAACGTTTCCTGTAGTTGCAGATCAGACCTGCACAACGATCTCGAGTAATTTTGGACCACTCCTCTTCACAAAACTGTTTCAGTGTAGCAATATTCTTGGGATGTCTGGTGTGAATCGCTCTCTTAAGGTCATGCCACAGCATTTCAATCGGGTTGAGGTCAGGACTCTGACTGAGCCACTCCAGAAGGCGTATTCTGTGCTGTTGAAGCCATTTTTTTGTTGAATTACTTTTATGCTTTGGGTCATTGTCCTATTGCATCACCCATCCTCTGCGGAGCTTCAGTTGGCGGACAGATGGTCATATGTTTTCCTGCAAAATGTCTTGATAAACTCTGGAATTCATTTTCCCATCAATGACAACAATCCGTCCAGGCCCTGAGGCAGCAAAGCAGTCCCAAACCATGATGCTCCCTCCGCCATGTTTTACAGTGGGGATGAGGTTTTGATGTTGGTGTGCTGTGCCTTTTTTCTCCACACATAGTGTTGTGTGTTCTTCCCAACCAACTCAATTTTGGTTTTATCTGTCCACAGTATATTTTGCCAGTACTGCTGTGGAACATCCAGGTGCTCTTTTGCAAACTTCAAACGTGCTGCAGTATTTTTTTTTGGACAGCAATGGCTTCCTCCGTGGTGTCCTCCCATGTACTCCATTCTTGTTTAATGTTTTCCTTATTGTAGATGTGTCAACAAAAATGTTAGCATGTGCCAGAGATTTCTGTAGGTCTTTAGCTGACACTCTAGGATTCTTCTTTACCTCATGAAGCATTCTGCGCTGTGCTCTTGCAGTCATTTTTACAGGACGACCACACCTAGGGAGAGTAGCAACAGTGCTAAACTTTCTCCATTTGTAGACAGTCTGTCTTACTGTGGACACATGAACATCAAGGCTTTTGGAGATACTTTTGTAACGCTTTCCAGCTTCATGCAAGTCAACAATTCTTGATCGTAGGTCTTCTGAGAGCTCTTTTCTGCGAGGCATGGTTCACATCAGACAGTGCTTCTTGAAACCAGTAAACCCAAAACAGGTGTGTGTTTTTAAAGGGCAGGACAGTTGTCAGCAACACATCCAATATCATCACACTGATTGGAATCAAGGTTGGCTCACTTCTGGCTCCAATTAGCTCTTGGAGAAGTCATTAGGCTAGGGGCTCACATACTTTTTCCTCCCTGCGCTGTGAATGTTTACATGTTATGTTCAATTAAACCATGGCAACATCTAATGTTTGTGTAGTATTATTTTAAGCAGACTGTGTTTTTCTGTTGTTGTGACTTAGATGAAGTTCAGAGCACATTTTATGACCAATTCATGCAAAACTCCACATAATCCCAAGGGGTTCACATACTTTTTCTTGCAACTCTAATTATTATTCACCATTTTTTGTGCTATGGATAATAATGGTATCTTTAAATATAAACAGTTCCTCAAACTTCTTTTTTTTTCTAGAAACATGAAAATGAGTTTAATGAGGCCGAGGCCTTGAATAAAATTTACCAATATATCGCAAGATACTTTGATAAGGTAAGAGTACCAATCATCTAGCCTGGCTAGTTGTGGGCTACTGAATGGCATAGCCATAGAATGGCTCAGGAACATTCCAATTAGGGAAGAAAGTGGTTACTGTATTAGCAATGCACATGATATATGTGGGCAATTTTCAACTCTAAAATTCCTGTTTGGCCCTCCCCCAATACTTATCTCTGCTTTTCTAGTTAGGACAGGGGAGGGGGAGAGGAACTGGACAGAAAGTAACTGGAAGTGAATAAACTGTCCCTTAAGGATTAATAATTCATATGGATTAATGGCCCTGAAGCAATAGGTTGTGATCTTTTTTATAATGACTGAGTCCCTATACCCTATTTCTATATCTATATCTACATATATTCCTATTCTATTCCATTCCATTCCACTCCTCTATTTTCTATTTTACCCCAGGCACCTTGCATTTTATTCTTAAGGCCAGTCCTATTTCTCTACTGACAATACAGCATTGTTTTTCACAGGCTGGCTAATAAGATCATCTGGCGGGGGGTGGGGGGGAGAGATGAAGAAAGCAACCTGTAGTTTGGTAAAGACATGCCCAGTACATAAGTTACCCACCCCTTTTCTAAGATTTAATAAGTGCCAAAATTTAATTTAGGAGAATCCAGAGTTCCTTTGGGTTTTACATTCTTTTGTCTCCTGCCATTGCTATCTTCTTTGTCTTGTGCAACCTTTTAGAAACAAATCTTATTTTACGGAAAACTATGATTTCTATAAATAAAACACAGAAGTCAATGCATGTGAGGTAGATTAACTAGACTGACTTAATATAATTAGTTTCCAAACACACTGAATATCCCATTTTTTTCATGATCTCGAAAGCATTTTATATCTAACTGGCAGGTAATAAAAATGTTTTAGCACTCAATATGCCATTATTTATACTTGGATAGTTGATTCCTCTTGATTATTGAAGTTGGAGTTTTTTTTGCTTTTAACAGATATACAACATCCATTTATTGCTATTCGAGTTGTATTTACAGAAACACTTGTGACTGTAATTGAGGTTGCTAGTGCCAACAGAAGTGTTCATTTTGTGATTAATAATAACTTGCAAAGGAAGATGCAAAAATAGCCTGGCTTTAGAAGGAATGGTTACTTAAGCAGAGCTTACTTTTTAACATTGGGGGGAAATGTTTTTTTTTTTAGATAAGCAAAATAAGCATACATTCTTTTGTTCTCATAGATACTGAATAAATTAGAGACAGAACGAGGATTGGAAGAAGCCCAACAGCAACTCTTAAATATAAAAGGTTTAATGGATGAAAAGAAAAAATGCAAATGGGCTTAGGAATTTAATTTTATAATTGGTGCTATTATGGAACCAAATTCAAAATATTGGTCAACTAGTTCTGTTCACACAAAATCAACAACCGATGCCCTCAGATTGGAACAGACATCTCCAGATGTGTCAACAAAGTGGAGCCTGGACTGAGATGTATATCTGCCTGCTGCTGGCATCTGAAGCAATCCCTCTATGCAGATCTTCCCTCCTATATAGATACAATCAAATAATTTTGGTTTATTTTTTTGCATTAAAAACAACCTTAAATACAGATCTTATATAAACAAACTGGTTGTGTTATCGTTCACAACTTCATCTAATTTCTATGCTGTCATTCAGCAGCAATTTATGTGCCTTAAAAAGACCTCAGTTGGTTTCTGATAAGCACAAATATATTCTTGTTATTCATAGTCTGAGCATCAAAATTAGAGAGCGTTCAAATGCTACATGGTTTTATAATGAAGTGTAGATTTTCAACTTCCCCCAAATAGTTACACATTGTGGCATAACTAAAAGTGACGTGGGACTGAAACAGAGGGGAAATTTCCACCCAGCACATTGATACAGCAAACAATTCACCTCTTGATAAAGTCGGTTTCATATCTAGTTCTACCGCTGAAGATGTCATGGACGCATCGATATAAATTTTTTGGCATGATCATGGAAGGGGTTTGCATTCTCTGTCTTCCGAACGCAAATTTACACTTTGAAATTCTTCCATCACTGTATCTGCACTTTTTAAAAATGGAGCTGGTAGCCTTTCCTATCTGTATTTTCATTAGTATATACAATGTTTCCCTGAAAAAAAGACCTTGACATATTTTTTTGAACTCTGAAATAAGCGCTTGGCCTTATTGCCATGCGCTCAAAAGCCCGATTGGGCTTATTATCAGGGGATGTCTTATTTTGGGGAAAACAAGGTACATGCATTGTAAATATAAGGGCAAAAATAAAAATTACAAAGAGGGTTTTTTAACAACTGAAGATTCATAAGTGTATCATAATTTTATTATTGACTATAAAGTAAATGTGAATGAGGGCATCACATAGATGTAGGCTCTTCCACTCAGCTTCTATGCCTTCCCTGCTATTGGAATACCAATTTTCTCAGTTATATTTTATAGGGCCCTGCAATGCCTGCATTTGAAGGCAAAAACATATTATCTGCAACTCCTTCAGGAAGTTGTATCTTTTCCTGGGATTGGGGTGGTGCAGAATCTCAGGAATAGATAGGTTTGGTGTAAGGAGTGCTATGTACACACTCTAAAGCACAGGTATCAAACACACGACATCACGTCATCACATGACGTATCACAACTTTTTCCCCCCTTTGCTAAACTGGGGTGGGCATGGCCAGCACGTGATGCATCCAACCTGTGGCCGCGAGTTTGACACCCCTGCTCTAAAGTGTTTTCTTGATTTCAAATATGAAGCACTGCTATGCTTTGTTGCCTATCACATCCTGCTCAGAGTAATATTTACAGGGAACACATCAGCAGATGTTTGCATGTGCTGTATCAATTTTTAAAATTTTAAATAGAAAAACTTAAAAGTGCCTCAAATAGTAGGTTTTGATCCCACTACTTCTTGCTAGGAAAATTCTAATGACATTGAAAAGATTAACTAGCCACTATAGGCTGAGGATTCTCTAGGGCGAAGGTGCCCAACCTTGGCAACTTTTAGACTTATGGATTCCAACTCCCAGAATTCCCAAGCCAGTATGGTTAGCTTGTTCTGTAACATACAAATAGATGTGTTCTAATATAGGAGTCCCCAACTCTCCAGCTGCAGACTAGTACCAGTCCTCAGCCCGTTGGAAACTGGGCGGCGCAAATAGCAGGTGAGCACATGAAGCTTTATTTGTGCATGTACAGAATTAAGTTGCACGCTTGAAACCATCTCAGCCTGCCACTGCCGGTCTGTGAAACCAAAAAGGTGGAGACCACTCATTGTTTCTAGGAAAATGGAGGGAAAAGCTATTCCTACATTGTTTCTTCTAAGATGTAAACAGAGACCTGTATATTTTTCATTGAATACATCTATGTAAAAATAAAAAGCAAACCATTGAGGCTGGTATTGTTTTTTCCTTTTTTCAGAAAATGTTTTACATCATGTGGAAAGTAGATTTTAGAAAATTAAAAGAATATTATGCACAATGTGACGTATTTACCAATAGGTGCCGAACGTTTCTCCCCCAAATAATTACCTATTAATTATTGGATGAGTAACATAGGAATGAGCAAAGCATACAACTGAGCATGGATATCTCTGAAGGCTAGACCAGAGCTTCCCAAACTAAATCTTTGGAAATAAGCAATCCTCTCCTCCCCATATTTAAAATTGTATTTTTAACAGGAAAGGGAAGGACTTGCTGACTTTAGTTCCTGAATTCAGTTTCATTTTGAAGACAGTTACTCTTATTCAGCAGAATCAGAAAGGAAAGGGGGTGATGATGGCTTGAGTTAAACCAGCTTGAGTTAAACACTTGCACAACACAGACAGATGTAAATTGTTTTCAGAATATCTGCCAGTTATTGCCCAGGCACCAAGGCTGCCCTTTTGAATGGCAAAATGATGATGATGGTGCTTGTGAAAGAAAAAAAATATGAAAAAGACCATTCAGGCTTCTTGTTTGTCATGCATCACAGAGTTGCTTTGCATTCAGTAACTGTTAAGCCTACTCAAAAAAAGGAGAGCAGCAAGGAAGGTACTCAGAATGGGATTTCCAAAAAATTAGCCCTTTTTAAATATCTAAATATGACCCTCTGCTTTCTTTCTTCCCTTTTTTCATCTTCAAACAGCTACTCTTTCCTGAATTGTCATGCTGTTTTTTAATGTTCTATTTCCACTGGGAAATGTGTATATATATTTATATTTCTCTGTGTGAAAGTGGTTTGTGCATGCAGAAAGGATCAGTACTGTAAATGGAGCATTTTATTTCATTTTGAGCAGTAGTTACTAAATTCATACATGTGGGACCAGGGCTGTACTCATTTATGGGGAAAATAATTTCCAATAAGCATATACATATGGAGGCATACGGTGGGGCAGGGAATGTCTAGGGCTGGTTTTAGCTGGAGTTTGTACACGGGATTTTAAAAAGTTCTTTGAAAATTTCAATGTATTTGTTGTATATTGCATTATTGAGAGGAACTACTGAAATAAAATATTTCTGACAATCTCTGGAAACAAGCCAAATTTTAGCATTCCTACTATAAATGTATAAAACAATTTAAATTTATTTTAAATTTTATAGATGCATATAATTCCAATCTATTAGGCTTAAAGTAATTGTTTACAAGTGTAAATGGAGTTGGAAAATATATTGTATGAACATGTAAAATGTTTCATTTCACATATATAAACTGTGATGTTTGTTTTTGTTTCATTTGAAACTTTAGTATATATTCCAGTTTTTCAAGAAAATCAATGTGAAAACAAGTATAGCATTTTTAAATGGGCAGATAGCTTAGAATTTTTTTTTTTTTACAGAAATCAATTTTATTCCAGAATTATAATTTTCATAACTAGAAAAAAAATAAATTTCAAAATTTTTATCAATCAACCAGAATGGTATTTGTGTATTTATTGCTTCAGCTAGTGAGAACACAAAGAGGATAACAATTGTTTTGAAAAAAATCAGAAAGTTAGCACATTAAATTTGTATTAAAATTGCTTAAAATGAAGATTTACAGTTCTTAAGTTTGAAGAGAATGGAGACCAACTGAATTCTGAAGGAAATGTTGGACAAACAGGAAAAGTCCCCTTCCATATGCGACATGAGCCTGACAGCAAAAAAAAAAAAAAAGCCTTTCCAGCAACTTAGCACCCCGCAAAGTTTGTAAGGAAGAAGTGATCCATCAGAAAGTCAGACCTTAAGCTATTTAGGACATAAAAAATTAATGCTATTACTATCAATTCTGCCTGGTACATCACAAATTTTTGGTTCCTGTATCTTGAATTATCTATGTGCCAAATTGTACAATTGCTTCATCCATGTACCTTTTCAAGTATAATCCTACAATGTTGGGATCAAGGTGCTAACCAAAGCTGGATAGCTCATGAATGGACACACAATATAATTGGGCAAATTCAGCCTTCATTTAGGAATCTAGTAATATTCTTTTGGGGGAAATTGTAAACCTATACAAACCTATACTCTGAATCTGCTTTTATATTTCTAGTAGCATGAGTCATGACTAAATAAATGTTCAGCTTAATGTCCATCTTACATATTTATGTATTTACCTCCCGGTTGGACTATTGTAATGCTCTCTACATGGGGCTCCCCTTGAAGAGCACTCGGAGGCTCCAACTGGTCCAGAATGCGGCCGCGCGGGTGGTTATGGGTGCAACTCGTTGCGCCCACGTGACACCCCTCCTGCGCGAGCTGCACTGGCTCCCAGTGGTCTTCCGGGTGCGATTCAAGGTGTTGGTTACCACCTTTAAAGCGCTCCATGGCATAGGACCCGGGTACCTTCGAGACCGACTTCTGCCACCAATAGCCTCCCACCGACCAGTCCGCTCCCACAGAGAGGGTCTCCTCAGGGTGCCATCGGCCAAGTTATGTCGGCTGGCGACACCCAGGGGGAGGGCCTTCTCTGTGGGAGCCCCAGCCCTGTGGAATGAACTGCCCCCGGAAATACGTAAGATTTCCGACCTCCGGGTGTTTCGCTGCGCTCTGAAGACCCTGTTGTTCCGCCAGGCCGGGCTATTAGCATAACGTTTTAAATTGGGGTATTTTAAATTTCTGAGATTTTAATTGGAGCCTAATTATTTAATGATTTTAAATTTTAACTGTTGTTTTGTTTCTGTGTTTTTAAATAGGCTGTACACCGCCCTGAGTCCTTCGGGAGAAGGGCGGTATAGAAATAAAATTATTATTATTATTATTATTATTATTATTATTATTATTATTATTATTATTATTATTAATTTATTTATTTATTTATTTAGCATATGGCATATAATGTCAGGGAACTCTACAAATGCTAGACAAAATGCAGTTCCGACAGCCTAAATTGCTAGTTTTCGGTTTGATCCTTGCATGCCTGTACTTGCTGCATCCTAGGGGGGGCAAACTAGCTTGCACCAGTTGACTAGCAGTGCTCGGGTTGCTGGCTCTTCCGGGCTCCTCTGCGGGTTACACCTTGCTTTGCCTCATGTTGCATTGCCTACCATCTGGCCAGGTCCAACACCAGCTTCCGCTCTCTGCACACACGAACCCAGCTAGGTTTTTCCCACTGAAGTGGTATCCATTTATCCACTCACAATATTGCATGCTTTCAAACTGCCACGTGGCCGAAGCCAGGGAGTGAGTGGTGGGAGAGCTGGGCTCGAACCACCGGAGGGCAGACCATTTCTGGCCAGCAATTCCAACATCATTAAGCCACTTTGCCACAACATCCCCATGCCCATTACTGAACATAGGCAATATTCAATGGTACTTACTGCTTCCTTGGAGTTCCAGTGGCATTGGTATTATTGATGGCACCTCATTTCAGACTTCCAGCACTTACATGTAGATACTGAGATATGTAGATACTGCCCCAGCACTTATATGTAGATACTGAACTGTACACGATAAGACAAAACTCTACGAGATTCTGTAAGTGTCAAACAGTGATCTCTTAAAATTACTTTCTGGAATCAGCCCAGTTGGAAGAACTGTAGCCAAAACAGTACCTCAAGGCCAATCCTGCCAAGTGGTCCATAGACTATTGCGAAAGGTGACGTCAAAAGCTGCTGTGAAGTGCAAAGGGCTATTGTGGTTCTTGAGACAGAACAGAGTGTTTAGAAACAACATAGACCTCAATTTATGATTGTTCATTTAACAATGGTTCAAAATTACGATAGCCTCTGAAAAAGTGACTTGTGATCTGTCCTCAAAGTTACGAAGGTCACACTACTCTCTATCACAATTCAGATGCTGGGCAACCAGCTTGCATGTACATGTACATTGTTGTCATGTAATTGAAATTCACAATTTTTCAGTTTCCAACAAGCAAAGTCAATTGGGGAAGTTGACTTTGCTTAATGATCACATGGTTTACTTAACAAGCACAGTAAAAATTATTAAATTGTTTCCGGTCACATGATTCAATTTACAATTTATTACAGAAACTCTGGTCCCATTTGAGGTCTAAATCAAGGACTATCTGTAGTGTAAACTATCTAGGCCAACTTTTATTCCATAGCAAAAGATGTTCACATGACCCCAGGACACTGCCAACTGTCATAAATATGAGTCTGTTGCCAAGCATCTAAATTTTGATTACGTGACAATGAGTATGCTGCAGTGGTTGTTTGAAAAACAGTCATAAGTCACTTTTTCCAGCGTTGTCATAACTTCAAATGGTCATTAAATGAATGGCTGTAAGTCAAGGACTACCTTTACATGGTTCTTTTCCACACCCTGAATCAGAATGAGTGGAATCCCAATTGGAGGAACTATAATACATTTTGGTCTGATTTTCATTTTATTGTTTTTAGTTGCATTGCATTATATTCTGTGTGGTTGCATTAGTTGCTTTCTTTTTCTTTTGCATGCTACCTAGTTGAGTGGCCATGTACATGTTATAAATAAATACATGTTATAATAAATATATAAATATAAATATATCTAAGATCATTACAGCTAGCTCAAGAAAAGTCAATGATAGCAGCACATGAACTGTCCCACCCACACTCTTTTCCTATCAAATTTGCTGATTAGCCCATTGGGGATATGAGTCCTAACTCTTCATTTAGCTAAGTTTCAGTGATATGTCAGCTCAAGAGCCATTCAGAATAAGTGCTAGTTAACAGATGTTTCACTACCAACTAACTTTGTAACTCTTCTGATTAATTTACAAATTTAGTCACTTGAAACCTACGAACTGGCAGTAAAAATAGTCTTCACCTATATGTCAATCCTAAAAAAAAAGTAAAAGTAGCAGAATCACTTAAATTTGTTGGACAGTGGAATAATTCTATTCTATCATCAAATCCCTGAAGAAATGCAGAATCGGAGCTGCAGGGAGGTTTATTATTATTATTATTATTATTATTCATGAGATGATTTGTC